ACTTAACTTATTTTATTATGCTTAACATGATGCGTACGCCTATGTCCCGCGGGCTCAGATCTGACAGCTCTAATTATCAGTTATGTGTTATTTAAAATATAACACTGTATATCTTGTAAAAGGACATAGTCAGTACTGTAATCATAAACATATTCTGCTATTTTAACAGTTTTATTATTATTTACGTAATATTTACATAACAAAACTTCTTCTTCTTTAAATTGGTTCAAGAAATTCAAGACTTTTCTTTCTGATCCAGATAAATTTTTTGTTTTTGATGGGGACGAATTTTTGAAGAAGAATCTTTGGATTAGTTCCAATGTTGTTTTAAATTTTTTGGATATCTGTTGTTCATTACTTAAAATAAAAGATAATTTGTAACTTCAGTAACATTATATGATTTTAGTATGATATGATTTCAGTAACATATAACATTTGGTAGGTTAACAAATAAGAAAGCTACCCACCTTTCCAATATCAATGTAAACATTTATTAATAGTTTTTATATTTTTCGGTTGTACAATATTTAAATTTGCGAATAGAACATATATAGGGTGATTCAGAACTTATCCAAAAAAAAAAAATTCTGGATGTACAGGGGACCCTTATAAATACAGTTTTGTAAAGAAAAAATCAAAAAGGGCAGTTCGAAAATGATTTAAAAATACACTTCTGCACGGCACTGGAAGCTGGTCCACTATAAAACCTGACCTCGCACTATGCGACCGGCATGGCGGTGCGATAAAAACGGACAAAAACTTTCGCAAGGAAAGAAATATGTAAATAGAATTTTATAACACCTATTTTAAATCTGCAAATTCAGCTGCTTTAGCCTTTATTAATTAATAAAATTAATTTGTGTTTTTAAATAATAAAATCATTTGACATATCCGATGTTACAACAACAATTGTTCAAAATTTTATCCACCAACGTGTAAACACATTTGGGTCTGTCTTGCTCAGTTTCTACGAACTAACACAAATGTTGTCTTGCTTCACCATAAATTAAAACGATATCCATCAACTTCGAATTGCTATACACGCAAACCATTTTTGACAATAACTACTAAAAAACTATTGTAGACACCACAGATAACAGATAAATACTATCGCAACGACGATTGCAAAATTTAATTTCAGTATTCGGAGTCGCTGAAGCCACGTGGCTCTCCACGCGTATTGCGAATGGCGCTAGAGACTACAGTTGTCCAGCTATGTAGTGGTTGAATGTACTATAACTTCAATAATTTTTTTCTCGGAAACTATAAGGATTTTATAATTTTTTTTACAATATTGACTTTTGGATAAGTTGTGAATCACCCTGTATACATATCCTTACAAGTACTTGCCTTTGTTCAAATAAACAACAGACACTATAAAATTACATTCGACAATGGAGGTAACAACGACAGTACGATAAAAATTATAGCAGCATTTCGCCATACATACGCATGTGCGGGAAAAATTGACATGAAATATTATATGATTTACCAGATTTTAATTAATTTTATTACATTTCTCATAGGTATATTTACAAATTTCTTTTAAAAACATATTGTATTTTATTATATGCGTAATATATTATGGTACTTAACATTTTTACAATGTAAATTTACGTAAATTATGTATATACACATTTTAAAATCAATTTACACTAGATGTTATGGAAGAAAAAAAATTACGTAAGTAATTCTGTAAAAATACGTAGTTATGTGGTTTTACCCCATTTTTTTCAGTGAATTCTAACATGTTGAGACAAAACAGTTGGGCAAAATAATTTTAAAATATATTTACAAATTACAAAATACTAGTACGAAAGTATTTTAAAAACGAAAAACTTATTTGACAAAGTATTTTAAATATAAATTACTTGGTATTTAAAATAGTATTTTAAGTATTAAATATATTGAAAATATTCATTAACAGTATTTAAATTACTTTTAGAAGATTTTAAGTACTTTTTTAAAATACAAAATAATGTATTAAAGTATTTGTAATACAAAATATTTTTGAGGTTATAACAAAAGTATTTTAATTAATAAAATACAATATACTATTTTATATTTAAAACAATATTTGTTTAGTTTTTATTAAAGTACTCCCAGCTCTGGTAGTACAATTATTAAATTTAAGACTTAAAACTAATAATAATCTAGTTTCGATCTAACAAAACTAACATCTGTAAAACTAATCTGTGAAGAAAGGATCCCTCTCAAACAGCCAATACCTCTTTTTTAAACCTTTAAATTGTTGCTAATTCCAACGCCACTGTTGGGATCTCGTAATAGTTGTATCTGTAAATATTCTATTAGAAGAAATCACCTGGCTTTGTAGCAATACCACTGTAACACGCTGTATTTCGAACAGTGCATACCATAAAAATCGACAAAGGGCACAATCCGTTAAGCATCGAAAATATGTCACGTTCGAACTGTGCCAGTGGCCGGCAATCGCATATTACCCGCATTCTCCTCATAAATAAATAAAAGTGGATTGACAGTCGATCTGTGGCAAGGCGTGGTTACTTTTACTATCAGTTTCGAGTGCGCTGTGCTTAGTCGACCAACAAAACACTATACAGCGAGTGATATGTAATCTGGGATCTTACGACACCTTCACGTTCAACTGCGAACGGCCAACACGCGAAATACTTATAAAATCACCAATGCTAATTCGAAAAAGAGACAATGAAGGCGACTGCTACGTATTATTAGCTAAGCAGATCTCGTTTGCGAGAGATCATGTGGGTGAAAATGTAACAAGGTTCCTGCTCGACAACTTTTCAGTTATCAACTGAATAATCGTTCCGTTGGCTACGATGCTTGAACGGGCTCAGTTAGATACGCGCCGTTTGACGGCTCAAAATTATGTTATCTATAGAGATATATTTTTTTCTCCAAGCGTGCGACGTAATGTATGTATTTGAACGAGGGATAGTGTCGCGAACTGGCGATCTATTTAAATTAAAATGGGTTTGGTGAGGCAACTTCTGGCTTCTTGGCAATAATGCGGAGTAAACGGAATAAAGTTGTTTTCACCGTTAAATACAATAATAATGCCAGAAAAACATTGTACACTAAGAAAAAGACACTATTGAATTGATTATAATTAGATAGAAGCCTTGCTTCTATATTTACCGGGTAAAAACTGTTTCAAAAACTGATAACTCGACTTTTGTTATTTATTCTACATGTTTTAGTACTTAAAATAAAGTAAGATTCAATAAGTGTTATAAAGCTTCACCCTTTGAAAAATTATCCAGACCTATCATGTTGGATTTTTATGACGTTGGCTCAACATAAAATAATGAATTCAACGTTATATTATCACAATGGACCAGTTCATTTAAGAAAGGTGAGAAAGATGATCCGACCAATATCTCTTGTTCCCGTTCTGGCAAAGGTTTTCGAAACTGCCTTAAAAATGCAAATTGCAGAGTATTTTGAAAACAATAATTTATTCCATTCTAGTCAATACGGTTTTAGGAACAAAAAGTCAACAACTTTAGCTATTAACCAGTTGACTACCATTATTTTAAGCAATGTTGTCACTGGAAATTTTTACGATTTGACTAAGGCATTTGTCTGTGTGTCCCACAAAATTCTCTTAAATAAACTAAAATTTTACAATTTTGATGATAAATGCGTGTCCCTTATTGAGTCTTATCTACCGAACAGAACTCAGTATGTTTTTTATAATTCTTATTCTTCACACCTAACAAAAATAGTTCATGGAGTTCCCCAAGGCTCAGTATTGGGCCCTATTCTATTTCTTATCTATATCAATGATTTCCCAAATTGTGATATAACTACTGATTTTATTTGCCGATGATACTACCGCTTTAAAGTCAAATAATAACTTAATTAATCTCACAGATGATTCAGTGGATACACTGCCGCTGATAAAGGACTGATTTATTGCTAATAGAATGAACTTAAATGGTGACAAAACTCAAACTTTGCTTTTTACGCCATATCAAATTAAGTTGGGAAAAACATGTCAATGATTTATCCGCACGTTTATCTAAGAATATTTTCCTACTGCGTAATTTGGATCGTGTAGTATCTAAGCCTGTACTTATATCTGCATATTATAGTACTTTTCATTCCACCATGACTTATGCAATTTTGAACTGGGGTCATTCGCCTCACAGTGATAAAATTTTTGGTTTACAACGTAAATATATTAGAATTATGGCTGGAATAAAATACAGAGATGATTGTCGGGAGCACTTCAAACTGCAAAAACTTCAAATATTCTTACAATGCCGTCAGTTTACATATTTGAATGTCTCATTTATATAAAAAATTATCAGAATAGATTTGTTCGACAAGAAAATTTTCGTTTTCATCATACAAGACAGCGACACAATATTAGGCTAAATATCATAGATTAACGAAATCCAGAGATGACATTTTTGCATTAAATTGTTTAATACAGGGTGTTTCATAATATATGCGCAGGACTTCAGGATGTGATAGCTCGTCCAAAAATTTGAAAAAAAGTTTGTATTAACTTACCCTCTAAAATGCACAATTTTCGAAATACAGGGTGTTGAAATTGTAAAAAAAAATTCGTTTTTTGCGAATATCTCCGGAACCGTTTATCGTACAGAAAACAGCTTTTGTAAGCATTTACTACTCATAATAAGCTATGTTCTGTGCGAGAAAAAATTTTTTTCAAAGTCATAATTGGTGAAGATTTTGAAGGGGAAGTGGGTGTTTTTCTCCCCAACTTCTACGCCACTGGAAAAAGTACGGTTTTGAGACGCCCATTTGAACCGCCAATGTTTTCTACACAAAAACTGTACTCTTGGTCATAAGCTCTAAAGTTGACCGTTTTCGAGAAAAATCTACTTTTATGTTGAAAAACATGGTCAATTTTTTGAAATAAAATTTTTTTACTAATTAAACAAAATTTATTTAATCGTTAGAACAAGTAACAAAACCAAACGTTAACTTCATAGTTGCAAAATTTAAAAAAAACAAATCGTACACAGTTAAATTAAATGTTGGAAATGTCCTCCGTTAGCTTCAATGCACGCAGCAATTCTTCGACGCATTGACTGTCTAACACGCAAGAAAATTTCCGGAGTGTTCCGAATTATGTCGCAAGATGCAACAATGCGTTCTCTTAATTGATCAACATTTTCAACTGGAGTAGCGTAGACTAGGGTTTTGAGATGGCCCCAAAAGAAAAAATCTAAACAATTAAGTTCGGGAGATCGCGGGGGCCAAGGGTGGGGACCTCCTCGACCGATCCAACGGTCTTGGTATTCGTCGTCCAAGTATTGGCGAGCAACCAAACTAAAGTGGGCCGGAGCTCCATCATGCATAAAGTACATGTTTTCTCTTACTTGAAGCGGTACATCTTCCAGCAGTTCCGGCAGTACTTCTTCTAGAAATTGTCGATAATCTGCACCGTTTAATCTGTTCGGTAAAAAATGTGGGCCTATCAAATGATCACCGACGATGCCAGCCCAAACATTCACGGAAAATTGTTGCTGATGATTGCCTTCTGCAATTTCATGTGGATTTTCTTCAGCCCATATGTGGTTATTGTGAAAATTGAAAATACCATCTCTCGAGAAAGATGCTTCATCGGTAAACATAACTTCGGCTCCAAACTGAGACATGACATTTTCCCATAGTCGTTGGTGAATGAGTTGAAACAAGTTATGATGTGGTACTTGGCGATCACGATGTCTTTCTTGATACAACCGCCTTGCTTCTGCCGAATTACCGTTCGCCATTCCGTAAAGGTAATGCATTTCGCACATTTCAGCGTTTGTGTAATTCATTTTTACTTTTGTAATACAAATTGACTTTTCGCAGGTACAAACTAATTGTTATTTTGACAGGAGGTAGCTTTTGTTTTAAAATTTAAAGCCTACTTGATAAAAAAAATTATAATACATTTAGTAAAATAAAAATTTTATTTAAAAAAATTGACCATGTTTTTCAACATAAAAGTAGATTTTTCTCGAAAACGGTCAACTTAAGAGCTTATGACCAAGAGTACAGTTTTTGTGTAGAAAACATTGGCGGTTCAAATGGGCGTCTCAAAACCGTACTTTTTCCAGTGGCGTAGAAGTTGGGGAGAAAAACACCCACTTCCCCTTCAAAATCTTCACCAATTATGACTTTGAAAAAAATTTTTTCTCGCACAGAACATAGCTTATTATGAGTAGTAAATGCTTACAAAAGCTGTTTTCTGTACGATAAACGGTTCCGGAGATATTCGCAAAAAACGAATTTTTTTTTTTACAATTTCAACACCCTGTATCTCGAAAATTGTGCATTTTAGAGGGTAAGTTAATACAAACTTTTTTTCAAATTTTTGGACGAGCTATCACATCCTGAAGTCCTGCGCATATATTATGAAACACCCTGTAGATTTCCATCTGAGATTCGATCACTAAATTCAGACTGTTTTAAGGACAGAATTAGAAAATATCTTAAGAGAAAAGCGTTTTACAATTTTGATGAGTTCCTTGCTGACCAGTTTTTAGATATTTAATGTATGTTCGTAATATTCAATTTTTTATGCTATTTACGTTATACTTATCTGAATGTGTTTTTTTAACTTTAGTGTAGTTGCTTATATGTTGTATCTTTCGTGCTTTTCTTTCTTTGACTTGTGTAAACATTTTAATGTATAGACACCAATAAATAATTTGATTTGATTTGATTTGATTATATTCCATTATTATAAGTGAAAAACATTCGTATTATTTATTTAATTTGTTCATTGTTGCTGTGGGAAGCAAATGGAAATTTTCTTAATCAACAGAGCAAATCGACTTCTATATTGGAACCAAACTTATTACTCCACTTTTAGTAGTAAAACAGTTATAGAATAAATAAAAAGATCGAGTTGGTTTCAGTTTTTTTTTCAGGCTACATCTTGAACGGTTTTTTTTTATATTTTAAATTAATTTAATTTTTTTTGTTTTTTTTTTTGTTAGCTATACATCGTTAATTTTAGCTTTTTTACTTTACCTTACAAGTAGCAAACTTAAATCAAGTATAAAAGTTGTCCTAAAATAATTATTTAATGAGAATTTTGTGAAAATTTTTAAAAATGACTTGAATTAGTTTGATACCTTTGATCCGCATTTTTTTTTTTGAAAAAAGCTTTCTGAAGTGCATGGTATTTTTACCAAGTATGTCCTACAGATAATTTAAAATATGAGACTAAAACATGTTTTAGATACATTTTCTTGTTATAAAAAGAATTATTTATTGATTTCGGCGATAGTAGTTTGAGTTAAATATTATTTAACAACGCAATCAAAAAAAGTTTTTCGAATGCAAAATTGTATCGTCAGTAGGTACTACTACATATATTTTTAATCTTCTGTATTTTTTAACAAATGACACATATCTATACCCCATAAATTTCAAACTTTCAAAATTAAACACAACATTATTAAAAGATGAAGAACACTACGCAATTAATATAAATAATATCACAGTTTTCTCTTTACTGTTACCTTTTTGTAATTTTTTATAAATATCACTTGAACTGAAATTTTATAATTTTCTACTTTATATATTGTACCCATTTTTATTTAAATTTTGATTTAATTATAACACACTGTAATGATATTTTTATTATAAAGTGTTTAAACAAACAAAATATCAAGTAAAGTATTTTAATTTTGCAAATAAGTCGAACAGCTAATTTGCACTAAGATTTGTCAGAACTTTGTCAGTAATTTCAATAATAAAATGCACACGAGAGCGCATTTGAATACAAAACAAATCCATTTACAGGCATTCCCAAGGACACAGCAATAAAACAAAGAAAAATCCATAAACAACACCTATCCATCCTATCCTGTTACAATTCCAACATCGAACCAATTAATTACCTACCAATAACACATATTTAAATAAATATATGACATACAACAGCTTAATGAACATCTGATAAGCATATCCTGCTGGCAGGAGACTGTCCAGCTCTATTACCAACGGCAACCAGGAACTGACCAACGACCACTCGATTACACCCGTCACCATTACAAAGACAACTAACAAAACCTAAACCATATCAAGTGAGCCCATCCGACAAAACACTTTCGATCTCAAGACAGCAAACTAGAGCAGTGTCTTGTATAAGCCTGCTAGATTACAGACGCGCTGGACCAGTGCTCTCTCAGTTACAGAAGGGAGTGCACGTCAGTGATCTGCGCGCTCGTACACACGTGTACCAGATCTTTACGTCAGTCAGCCAAAGTGTTCGTACCCCTTAGAGACTATTAAATTAATTTTTGTGCAAGTCGAACTGTGCCGTGTTCCAAGAGTGCATCGTGTGATTGAAGTTTCGCGCCTCATCCCCTGTCGATATCTCCGGGGTTACTCGTCTATGCTACCGTTGAAGTCTCCAAAAGTTTATGGATTATTTTTCACAATATAATACGATATTTTCAAGCAAATTTCTGCGGCAACAGTAAACCTTCATCAGGACTGTATTTACGATGTTATATATACCAATAAACAGAGCCATAAAACTGCGGTTTGGATTAATGTAAAAGGTTAATTTCACTTTTGACACTTAAATTGGGTGCATAAAGTTCACTTGCAATTGGCTGGGACCTTCATAAGATTTAAGTGTTACGAAGAGCTGTTGAAAAGTTGACCAAAAACAACAAGTTTACTCTTACTGTACTTAAAAGTGAAACAGTTTGCTTACAGGTGTTCTTAAAGCGCTGAAGAATCTTAAAGGCGTGGTGTATAATTCGTGACTATAGATACATATTCTACTACAGGCCTTATCTAGCCAATACTGTTTAGCAATTTACAACATTCTGCATCTGGAAAATAAACTCAGTGTAAGATAAAAAATAAACTGTGTTCATACGGAGTTTGTTATGGCACCATTAAAAGACAAGGAACGCTTTTGTGTTAGTTTTTAAAAATCTAAGGCTTTGGGAAGATCGAAGAAAAGACGTTTTTGTGATTTTCCGGAGACTGCAATAAAAATAAGGTCAGTTGATAATTCAGTGATTAATTATAAATAGGTAATTATGTTTTACCTTCAGTAACCAGCTTCCTATTTACAAAAGATTGGAATACATTTGTAATTAATCGATAATTGAATGCACATGTGTTCAAGTGTGATTCACAGTTTACGATGAAAAAAGTAATATTCACCTAACCCATTAGTTGTAAATCTGGAAAAATACTTTTAAAAATTATTTTAACAGTTTCTTATCACTGTTGCTAAATTTTACGCCTCTAAAACCAATGATTATAAATAAGCTAAAAATTTATTATCGCTAAATTAGCAAAATTTCTGTCCGAGTTCAAATTATAATTACCGTCGGATAAAAATACAAATATCTTCCAAACAAATTAATATTCCGTAATTTTAAAATAACCATAAAAACTAAGAGTTGTTACATTTTACCAGAGAAAGAATTACGACTATTATTTCTATAGTAATAACATTTATATTTTTCGCACATATGGTTAGTAGCAATATTCTCGGAACAAATAAATCAAGTACGGCAATATCACAGCATGGCGTATTTCGGTAATAAAGAAATAATGTTCAAAAGTATAACTTCTGGTTATTGAGGTAGGTATACATACATAAAATACGTAAACGCGTATCCAGAAACACGTTTTTTATTATATTTTCCATTATAACTTACATTTTGCATATGATAAACGACTTAATTTCAACGTATGGTATTGTTACATATCTAAAAATACGTGGAATGGAATTGTGTCAAAAAATAAGAATTCACTATCAACTGAAGTAAAATTCTATTTATTTATAATTCGTAAACTGAAATAATCTGTAAAAGTACGATTAAAATAGTACCGTAAATTTACAATTATTTATTATCATGTTCAAAGTACGATGATAACAAATTCCTAGATAATCTAATAATATAATTTGTAATATTTTTATAACAGCAAACTAAAGTAATAATAATAGAAATTTTTACCTCTTAAAATGCTGTGATTCAGAGTTTGAAACTTAAATAATGAAGCAAAATATATTGTCGAAAAACATAGAACAATTGTATTGAAAATACATAAATAAAACTTATCCGCGAAATATTTTAATATCTTCAGAATCTTAAGCAAATGTATTGGATTTTATACAAATTTTTTTTAAACCTCAGTTAATACAGAAAACAGTTTGTCTCTTATAAGGTGTGGGGACCAGTATTTTACCTATCGAAAATGGAGTTTCTCAGGGATCTATATTGTGTCCGACCATTTTCCTTCCGTATATTAATGATTTGCTTAACTCTATAGTTAATAGTTCAATATGCATACGATACCACTCTATTAACTAGAAGTGGTTTTGAAGTGAGTGACATCTAAATTGCTAAAGACTGGTTCTCTGCTAATAATTTAAAATTATATCAGTTAAAAACACAAAGACTGCTTATTAGCTCTGATAAGTGAGCTAAGCAATCTGTGCCTGCCAAATTGCTTGGTGTTATCCTTGATACCAACCTGGAGTCACAACATTGTATTACTCTGTTCTAGACTATCATCTAATATATTTGCTATCCGGCAACTAACTTCATGTTTGCCTAAAGAAGCCTTCGAACTATTTACTCCAGTATTATACACAGCCATATTTCTTATAGTATTCTACTATGGGGAAATTCAACAAATACAGTTAAAGTATTCCTGTTCCAAAAGGCTATAGATGGAGCTGCACCGGACATATAATAATAATAGGCCAGCAATTTGGTGTCTCCATTTTCTCGTATACACTTATCACAAAAGGTCAAAGTAGATTTAAAAATATACAATAAATTTGTCCACATTCACGGAAAAGCACTAATTGACAGTATATCTACCACAAAATTTTACAAATCTGTGAAGTCATTTTACTATATCTTTTATTTGTTACGCCTATAAAATCTGTGTCATTGTTGCGTCTATTTGTGACTTCAAATGTATTTGTTGTATATAAAGTGGTCAATAAAAATAAAGTAAAAGTAAAAGTAAATACATTTCATGAAATTAAAATAGATTTAAAAAGTAAAACACACAAGAATTTGCTTCATTTAATAACAGCATAAAATATTAAGTATTGAAAATATATTGGAAAAACTTTCTACTAAAAGCTATTATTTTTACGACTCTATATATTATGCATTGGTAGTAGCTAAATAGTTTGTTTTGGTGACAGCACAGAGTTAATTTATATAAAATCGAATGCCAATTGTGCCGTACCATTGCACACAGAGAGGAAACCAGTACATTAAGCCTATTAATTAAACCATATCAGCGGTATTATTTTCCCATTAGTGATTTCTCAAACGTTCACCAGCTATTTGTCACATGTTAGGCAAAGTTTGGTAAAAACACAATAGAGTTACAGCAACTGGCACCAAATGATCCGTGACTCCAAAAACACTTTCCGACATTTTCAATCAGTTGCAGCGACCAACTGATCTAGATTCGCATAATCGGTCAACCAAGAATATTTTATGACTTTTTGCCTGGTTCTATTGGTTTGTACGGTTTTTTTAGATCGTTTCTTAGGAGAAGTGAAGACCTACAATGGGTCACTGTTTTACCGTATTTACTCAACTTTCCAATTACTTTTAATTGCGCATCATGGACTATTAATTCACCAGAATCGATTGGTAAAAAATTACAAATTCCCGTGGTTTCCGATAATTTAGAAGAAATCCTACCGGAAACAGAACCATAAAATTTAAGTACCATTGTACCATTTGTCAACAAGTCAGTAAATTTTGGAAAATTGCGTACTTTCGAAATTTCTACCACTTGTCCTAAATCTAGAGGCCATATAGTTTAATCGAATAACATAATTAAAATGTTTTTCTGTGATTTATTTACTTCATAATATTTATAGCTTTGAGTACATGATCTACGTTTCACAAACATGAGTAGCATAAGGGTTGATGAAACCAAAAATGAATGCTAAATTGAGTTGTATAGTTTCATATGCCACAACATGAAAAGCTATATTTATTTACTTTCAGGTCAAAGTATTTGTAACTGTCTACTGTTGTATTCATTGTTATTCACAGTATTCCTCTCTGTACTGAAAAAGTCTTATGAATATTTGTATTTGCGCCAAAAAAAAATTGTCAAACCAGAAGATTGAAACTGTTTCAGTTAACTCTCCCTTATTACAGTGCGGTGCATATACCGAAGGTCAATGTCAGAACTTTTACTAACTATGGGTACATTTTACATAATTTACAGCTTTGCATAAATTTATAGACGCATTCAAATTACACATTCGAACCCAGAAGATCACGAACAGTTGATTTTATAGAATGCGTAGGTCGAATGCTAAAATATTCGATACCTGTCATTAACCTTTATTCCATTGGGTATTAAACTTTCTGAATCATCAGTTTGAGGAATAACAATTCTATAATAGTTTTTGCAATATTCGAAATTAACCGAATAATAACAATACTCCTATTCTACGTAAAACGATGATCAAATCTATGATTTTATATTAAATTTCAATTGCCTTGTATTTTTTGTCTAATAGAACCTTGCGTAGATGGCGTATTTATTTACTATTTTAATGTGAATACCTTGGCACTTTAACTATGCCAAATTTCACATCGAAATTAATGTCCTTACATAGCAGTTCAGTCAAATAAAACAGGAAAGCATTTAATAATGTTACTAACAGAGATACAAAATGTTAGTACATGTAAAAAGTCCTACGAAACTAGAATATGCACTCTTAAAAACAACTGAATAGCCTGTTAAAAAATATGGACTAAAGAACGATTATTTTGGAGAAAAATTTTCAGCTTTCAGCCAAAGTATCCTTAAGGATTAGAATATAGTAACTTCTATTGCTAACTTTACACATTTATTTGAGAAATTTAAAAGATCTTTAGAAATATTATTCCTTAAAAAAAAAATGATTTCTCTGATGTAAAGTGCGTTATAGTATTTTTTTTTTGGAAATATAAAGTACATCAGCTGTTCCTGCTGCAAGGGAAGGAACTAACTTATTCTCAGTTCAAACCATGGGAGATGCAAATCGAAACCATATGTATACTTAAGTAATAAAATTAATGATCACCTTTTGTGATGTATCGTGTTTTCATAGAAACAAGGCGAAGTAAAAACCGGAGATAATATCTATGAGACTAGGCGATTTATTGTTATTAGGCCTCTAAATCTGAGACTTCTCGTTTGCATAAGCAATTAATCCGGAAGATCAGTGACAGTCTTTGTATATAAATTATTGCCATTTTCCGCCACCTGAATGAACATAGCTTAACCGATTATTGTAGAAAGCGAGTATCCTTTAATCAAGTAGGCCGATGTCACAGCCCAAGAGCATAGACACGTCAGTCCGTAAAAAATCGTCATCGTTCTGTTGCAGTAGACGAATTTGTGTGGAAAAATCTATTTTCTCATAGCCGACTGCGAATAGTCATTTGATGCCACTGTTTTAACCGAACAATGCCCGTTTAACGTCCTGTCAGTTTGATCGAGATAAATGAAAGAGTTCATGAAACACAATTCCTGCGGCTCCCAAACAGTTTAAAAATATGTTTGTTGTTGAAAGCATTGTGCAACCAATTCTTTTCAATTTATTGGCCATATAATTCGTTTGCAATTTGTGTCGTACTTTATAATAAGCTAATTGTCAAAATTGACAAAAATATTATATGATGTATACGCAATATTAGAGAATAACGAAATAGAGACATTCTTATAACTGCTCTTTATATAATATATAATTAACATGGGTAGTCCTTTCCTCACCTATTTCAAAACTTGCTATGTGATATATTATATTTTCAATATAAATAAAAATTTGTATAAGTGTAAATTTGTTTTTTAACGAGTATAGTTTGTGTTGTGTAAGAAGTTGTATGTACTGTAACTCCTATCTTGGAAAGTACCTATATGAAAATAAAAATTTTCAAAATTATATTCTGGCTAAGATTTTTGGAACTATTAGTTTTTATAGCAGTGTATTGTCGTATTTATCTAAAT